GTTCCTTAAACTGTTTCCTGTCACCGCAGCAGCACTTGAGGCAATCAGCTATCATTAAAGTTTCGCAAGAGGGACCATTCCAGCCGCACAACAAACTTCATCTGCAGCGCGCTTCCCAGTTTCTATCGCAGTAGGTACAGTCGAACACGACCTTAGACTCGTGGCTTCACCCGCAAAGAACAAGCGATCGTCAACAGGGCTGGCAAGGAGGTGACGGAATTCGTACGCATGCGCAGTGGGCGAGGTATATCCGCCGCGAATGTAAGGATGGTTTGACCAATGGAAGTACACGAAGTCCATGAACGAGTCGCTAGCAGGGCTTGGGTTCGAAGAATTTCTGTAATCATAGTAAGAAAAGCAAAGTTATCGCAAGCACTGTACGATGTGGGAATGAACTGCACAGTTTTAAAACGAGCACCAAATTTAATCCGTATTGTATATTTTTTCATTAAATACGCTTTGCAGTTCGTCTCGGTAAACTCACACCTCTTTTGAAACAAACTGGTGACCGTTGAGCTAAATTAATAAGGTTTTGTTTATTATTTCAAAACTAAATACATGAAAAAATGTCTTCATTTTGATCATCGGAAGAAATGCAGCTATCACTTAACACAATGCGAAGATAGGTAATACAGTGCAGAAAAAGTAAGTCAGCTAAAAGCTAACAAACCATTTGGCCAGCCTTTGAATTTTTTTGCGCCTTAAAACTTGAAAAAAAAAAAAAAAAATCCGGAAACAGTTGTTGTAATTTGATTGTTTTGTCAAAACGCACAATTGTATATCAATCCTTGTGATTTGATAATTAACCTCATACTATTTATACGAAACTGCTGCTCTCTTCGGTGCAAAAGAACTAAGAGCGTAGACAAATTCTGAGGCCATTTCCTCCTTTTTATCCTCTATTAGATATGGAAAGAAGCGTTTCCCGCGTGGTCCTTTGAGGACCAGGTTTCTGAGGGCTCACGAGTATGGACTCCGTCGGCTCAGAACACTTCACTTTTAATTTTAAAACCTCACGTTATTCAAAAAAATTGTTCGGTAAGTGAAAGTAGCCCGCATTGATAAACAAAGGCCTACACACGCCTCACGGAGTATTTAAAGAAAATCTTGAGACTTTTCTTCCCGTTCTCTTCTGTGTAGGTCTTGAAGAGTGGAAGGGACTGAGTTTATGATTCTGGGTTTCCTGAAGCCAAATGTCGCGAATAAGCTCTTGTGTAAACGATTAATTCTAGAGAGAGACTTAAAATGTAGCTTCTCCCCTAAGGTACCCATACGCTGTCAAGCAAACAGGTAATGAGAATACTCAAACTAATCACGTCGAAGTAGTTAACTTGATCCAAACTCAATTTCTGGAAACTTATTTAGCAGGAGATGTATAACAGCTAGAGGGATAAAATTATTTTATCAATCAGATCTTGGGAGTTACCTCAGTGTTGGCATTTACGCTTGACTGATGAGCCATTAGGAATTTTTACTTCGTTAATTTTCGTGTAAAGTTGGCTGGGAGAATCTTTTATCGGTGCGGTGTCTCGCTGAAAGTTTGCTGAAGGTTTTTTCAATATTATTTTATATTTAGATAAAATGTTTTGAGTTTTAAAATCTCTTTCCTTGATGACAGTAAATTACACGTGGCGTTAGAAAGCAATTTCGACCATTATCCCTTAGAAAAACTGTGAAAATAGGTTCCTAAAACTGTTTCCTGTCGCCGCAGCAGCGCTTGAGGCAATCAGCTATCATTAAAGCTTTGCAAGAGGGACCATTCCAGCCGCACAACAAACTTCATCTGCCGCGCGCTTCCCAGTTTCTATCGCGGTAGGTACGGTCGAACATGACCTTAGACTCGTGGCTTCACCCGCAAAGAACAAGCGATGATCAACAGGGCTGGCGAGCACGTGACGGAGTTCGTACGCATGTGCAGTGGGCGAGGTATATCCGCCGCGAATGTAAGGATGGTTTGACCAGTGGAAGTACACGAAGTCCATGAACGAGTCGTTAGCAGGGCTTGGGTTCGAAGAAGTTCTGTAATTATAGAATGAAAAGCAAAGTTATCGCAAGCGCGGTATGATGTGGGAATGAATTGCACAGTTTTAAAACGAGCACCAAATTTAATCCGTATTGTACATTTTTTCATTAAATACGCTTTGCAGATTGTCTCGGTAAACTCACGCCTCTTTTGAAACAAACTGGTGACCGTTGAACTAAATTAATAAGGTTTTGTTTATTATTTCAAACCTAAATACATGAAAAAATGTCTTCATTTTGATCATCGGAAGAATGCAGCTATCACTTAACACAATGCGAAGACAAGTAATACAGTGCAGAAAAAGTAAGTCAGCCAAAGCTAACAAACCATTTGGCCTGCCTTTGAATTTTTTTGCGCCTTAAAAACTTAAAAAAAAAAAATCGGGAAAATGTTGTTGTAATTTGATTGTTTTGTCAAAACACACAATGGCACTTTCAGGGTTTACATGAATTCTATTTGTATGTGATTCGTGCGTTTTGCTACTGCTTGACTCATCTTGTGGATCTTTGAAAATATCACTCGTACTTATTTCTACCAGATTTCATTTGATATCAATCATGTGTTTATCTCAAGAAAGAAACTAAACTGTCAGTGGATGTCTCCTTTTATAGTAAATATGAAAGACTGTACTCGGCTGGGCTGATAAGGTTAATTCATACCCAAACATCTCGTCCAGATGATGCAAAAATCCAATCAATACTTCTTGTCCGCTGAGATACCGTTTCTCTTCCGCGGGCTCTGCTGTTTCAAAGCCGACAACCACGTGACATTTTTCGTCACTGTCGGGAGAATCATGTGAGCAAGTCCATATCTCACTAGCGAACCCACAAACGCTGTAAATTTGATGAAGCTTCTCCGGCCAGAAGCGGCGTTTGAAACGACAAGCGATTTTCCAAGCGCCTAGCATCTGTATCGTGCGTATGGCCTTGCTCTTGTCCGCGGGAAGTGCTGGAGTGAAGGTTATGTCGCCATCTTTGAGGACTGTTAGTGGTACGGTAATGATCACGTGCTTGGCGGTCATCTCTTCGCCATGCTGATTTCTCAGAAGAATTCGTCCACCGTTGTTGGCTGTCGTCCTGTCTCCTGCCCGAAACAAATGAATCCAGACATTCGTTTCCCGCCAAATATTAGTTGTAAATCACTGGGCTCACTTAAACAAAATCCGAATTCCATGCAAATACAACTTTCTTAGGAGAGCAACAAAAAGATGTTAAAAATCCAAAAAAATGTAACCATCGTTCGGAAACAAAGGCACA